CTGATGTTTTGGTTTTATTACTGTATTATCTGTTTTGGGGCTTTCTCCTGAGGGATAAATTTGTTAATCAAATCTGTTTGTCAAAAGAGCAGCGCTTATTTGCCCTAATCAAGTTTTGGCTGGTCAATATTAACTTGTCTCTGTCTACTGTCTGTCAAACAGAAAAAATACAATATATACAATACAAGACCTTTGTAGACCTACAAGATCTGCTGCAGCACATCCACGTGAATAAAGTAGATGGCAGAGTCCTGGCTAAGTGGTCTCTACCCACTAAATTACAGGAGGAGAAATGTTTGTGTTAATGGAGGCTGTAATAGCTTTTCCCATAATATGCATCTAGTAAACTGATGCAAATGGGAATCTACGATAGAAACAAATAACTGTTATTGAGAAATATTTAAAGTGGATGTAGCTGCAGAGTCGATGGTAATGTCAGAGGATACATTACCAGCAGGTACACCACAGACTCTTTTGCTCTATTATTCAGATCACTACTGAGATGTTGTCAGGCTCTCTGTGGGCGTCTGTGTGTACTGCAGTTCTTCTTCTGTGTTATAAAACTGCCTGCCTGCCGCACTGAAGATTTTTTTTCCCAGTGATACAAGTTGCCATGGAGATAGTGAGCCCCACTACCCGCTGCTTGCTTTCTCTCGCCCATCCAGACTCCCATAGAGAATGACTCCTCTGGGTATAAACCGCCAGCTGTTTCAGACATAAATAATAGAGCGCAGAGCTGTGAGCTAAGCCTCAGGCATCAATAATGGATATGAGGGCTTGATGGATAGCACTGCAGAGTGACAGCGTTGTCACTTGGGCTTGTTTTCACACCTCAGCTCACAATCTCCCCCTGTGTATGTACATGCTATGTGGTTTTAAACGGGACTATTCCTGCTCCTATGATATGCTGATGTCAGTGCTAAATATGGGATGGGAGTTGAGCACCGGAGTCGATATCACTGTATGAGAACTAGGTCAGAGCCACTACATGCTCGACATACTGCGTCTTTATGTGTGTGTGTGTTTGTTTGTTTGTTTGTTTGTTTGTCCGTCAGTGTGAGTCGAATAACTGCTGCTGGCCCCAGAACTCTTTGTCTTGTTTAAGAAGAATCTACAGCTTCTCCATTGAGGGTGCCTAGTGTTGCCTAGCAACCAACCTGGCCTTAACCAGTGCACACATTCAGTCTGGAGACGAACACTGAATGCACACACACACAAACACACTCACACAAAGCACTCAGGTGTATTGTGAAAAATAGGTTTGTATTGCAGAATATTGCATCAGAGGAGGGGAGGCAATGTCTTCCAAAGGTGCTGTGGGTCCAAGCAATGTATCGATTTCATGCAAACACACACACACACACACACACACACACACACATGCAGGTTAGTGTGCATGTTGATGTGGGTCTGCCTCAGACGCCTCATGGGTTTACAGCTACCGTCAGTGCTTTGTGCAGTAAGAATGTGTTATGTGCCTCCTTCTGGAGTCCACAGTTTATTGATTTTTTTGTGCGTGTGTGTGCGTGTGTGTGTTGAAAAGTGGATTAATAATGCATGATAGCTGAGCACCAGCAAGGAGAAGAGAAGGAGAGATTGTGTGAGAGTCTACGAGTGTTTATGCCAGAGGCTGCTTTGAGTCACAGAGCTTAAAGTTGGGGTTTGATGTTTGGTTCCTTGTTTTTGTGCGTGCATGTGTGTTTGTGCTCATGTGTGCGAGTCTACCTGTGTTTGATGGGAAGACAGATAGAAGAAACCTGAGGCTCAGAGCGGCGCCCGATTGGCTATCGGGAATCAGCTGACCCAAGCCCTGAACACCTACCTCTCATTCACTCCCACACCCCCCTCCCTGTCTGTTTTTTTCTTGCCATCTTTTTTGCTGTCTCCATATCTTTCAAATCCTTTTTCTCCCTCTTGCTCCTCTTCTTCTATCCATCTTCTGGAGAGACTTTCTCCCTCCTCCCTTTGCTCACTTTTCGCTTTTCCTTTCCTCTCCTTTGCTCTCTCTCCCTCCTTATCTTTCCATATTTACCCATCACCCCCCCTCTCTCTCTCTCTCTTCTCTCCCTCCCCTCCCTCCCTCTCTCTGTGGTTGAGCTCCAGTGATAGGCTGTTAATGCAGGCAGTGTATGAGTCTATCTCACCATCTGCAGTAGTGGAGCTAGCTTCTATCCTCCCTCGTCAGGATCTCTTCATCAGCCTGCCAACTTCAGCCTGATCTGGTGTGCGCTTGTGTGTCTGTGCAGAAAGTGGAAATAGACCAATGGAGCATGTTTGGTTATCGTAGAGCGTGTGTGTGTACCTGTGTGAGTGATTTCCAGTTGTGAAAGTTGCAGACAAGCTGTTGAATCTTCTGCGGAGTGTGTGAGGACATAGTGCAGCTACCATGTGTGAACTAGGCAGTCAGGGAGGCGTGGACGGTCGTTGGCACTGTTCGGCTGCACAGGTAGAGATTTTGCTCTTTCAGCATGCAGATATCTTTTTCTCTTCCTTTCTCCTCTATTCTGTATCTTTTTTCCCTCCTCCTATTGTTGTGCATCATCATGTCAGACGTCTCTATTGATAAGATGGGGACAAAGGGAGGGTGGTTGGAGGGGCGTAGGTTTCTCGGACATGGTTTTAGCACATCCTCTATAAACTTCTGTGACTTATTGATGTTATTTAAGTTGTCTTTAGTGTTCCTCCTGCTCATTGTCTCCCATGTGATAGGTGGATCAATACTCCAATTGACGCCTTCCAGTTTGAACGGGGCGGTCAGCTGATGGGGTGATGTCACAGATCAGAAGGAGGGGTCTCATTAAATATTACCTCTCTGCTTTTGTTTTAGCGTAAATCGTGATTCAAAACAGGCGCCTCTGGAGGGCACATATAGGTGTCTTTGGATCGATAACCAAGCACGGTGGCTTGACGTTGATAGGTGACAGATGTCAGGGGTTATGTGTTTCCCACCGGCCGATTGGTTCTTGTGCTATTTGAGTCCTGGCAAAGGCACAGAGGTTTATTGACTGGCTGTATTCCAGAGGCTAAGCTCACCCGAGCAGCATTTGACAGCTCAGTGGGCAGAACTGATTGGAAAGGCAGTGGAGGAAAGAGACAGAGTCAAGCGTCAATAACCTAATATATGTTTTAGGCCAAACAAAGCCACAGTCGGCTTGTCGGGACCCAGGACCTCACCACACAAGGCCAGCACAGGCATTTTTCAGATGAATAAACTAAATGGTTGCTTCTCTAATCTAATGTGATTTCACAAAGATACAAAGCAAATATGCAAAGGAAGCAAAGATGGAGAAGCCGTTAAATACATTTCAGTTTGAAATATTGTCTGTGGGTTTCAGCTGAGACTTCATCAACCATTCTGTACTTTGATTTGGTTCAGATTATGTTACGGTCTGATTCTAATCTGCCTCCTGAGCTCTGCTCTTTTATAGCTCTGCTCCCTCTCCTTTGTGGGTTACTAACATCTACTGCAATGCATCACAATCCAACTTTAATTTAGTGCTGGCACTGAGTGCCCATTGTGGATAAAGCACACACTCACACACACACACACACACACACACGCTCACACACTCATATCTCACATGCCAAGGCATCAAGGCGGGCAATGTTTTAACAGTAGTTCATGAATATGCGGAGCACATTAGCACGGTGTTAAGTAAAGACCGCAGCACTTTGAAGCCCTCCCCCTCCTCCTATCCCATCTCCTTTTCTCTCTATTTCTCCTCAAATGCCTCCTTCACAAATTAATTTTAATCCATCCATCTATCTCTCACTTCTCCCCTCTCTCCCTTCCTCTTTCTCCCCGTCTCCACACACTGGCTGGAATGGCAAATCAATGCACAGGTCCCCACAGTGGGTGCACACTCCCCCCTGTTTTTTTTATTCCCTATCATTTTTAACAGCCTGAACTTAGAGTTGCCATGGCAACAAGAGGAGCAGGGATGGAGAGAATAAGGGGGGGCTTTGCATGTAGAGGGAGCGAGACACAGAGACAGGGCGGTTGTTGAGATATTAGTTGGTTGATGTGGGTTAGGGGTTATATATAAGTGGGTTATTGACATGCTGCTTGTGAAGAGGTGTTGAATAAAGGAGATTTAAATGAATCCACTGAACGCTTTGCTGGAATGTTAAACGAAATCTGATTTTATTCTTCTTTTTAGCTTTACGCCGCACATCCCCTCGACACGTACAGCATGAGCACTTGCCAATATCAGATAAAGAGAGAGCAAAGCAAGGACATGAGGAAGATAGAATGGCCAAAGGAGAAACAAGAAGGGGAGGGCCAAGAGAGTAGGAGCAGATAACTACTCGTCCCTTTGTGGTTTTAAACAGAATTTATTTCTTTTCTCCTCTGCCCCATCATTTCTTCTTCTCTACTTGGTACTCTAGCTTTGGTCGCCTGCCATTGCTATGGGCAGTCTGGAAAATGAGTGGGCGATGGATTGGTGCTGTGTGCTCACACATTTAGAAAATAAAAAGAAGCAGTGTGAAGAAAAGGCTGTTTTTTTTTCTTCTTCTTGGAGATTTTGTTGATAAATGTTTGTTTCTATATATGTGTGTGTATGTGTTCCTAATTTTTTTGGGGGGGGGTCCTCTCTCTCTCTCTACAGTCAGCAGATGACCTACTGGTGGCATCGGCCGAGTGTCCCAGCGATGATGAAGACATTGATCCCTGTGACCCCAGTTCAGGTGAGTTTTTTACAGGCGTCCTCTATTCCCACCGTTTTCTTTCCACCATTTTGAAGCTCGCTGGAATTAATTTTTCATTTCCATTTAGATTTTTACTCTCAGGCATTCCCTAACACCCTCCCCACTCTTTGTCTCCATGCTTTTCTTTGTCCTTATTTCCTCTCTTCACCTCTGCTTATTATCGCCTTCTTATTCATCTTCTATTTTTATGTAGTTTCTTTTTTCCTTCTCTTTTTCCTCTACCTCATCTTTATGCAGCTGAAATAAGTCTATGCAAATTTTGTTGACACAGACATTTAATTCTGTGTCATATATCACCATGCTGCAGCCCTCATTGCCCGTGAGTGTCAGAAGTGTGTAATAAAACTTGATATAATGTTCACCCATGCTCTAGCCCTCCTCTTCAACACGCTGTAATGTAATCTGTTTACACATTATTTGATAATATGGAAACAACTCTGGCTCTAAGCTGCAGCCCTCCCTTTCCAGCATGTAGCATTATGCAAAATACATGTTAAATAATTCATCGTGATGATGCATTGTTTCTTCTTGCTCCAGCTCTCCACCCACCACCTTGACATGTAACCCAAATTAATAATGTATCCCATAAACTATGATGTAACTTCACATGCCTGCACTCTCCTCTGACAGCCCGTCCTCCCCTGCCGGAGGTGAAGGTGTTCACGGGTCCATCCGAGGTGGTGCGGGAGAGCAGCAGCACCACGGGCATGGTGGTGGGCATCGTGGCGGCCGCCGCCCTCTGCATCCTCATCCTCCTCTACGCCATGTACAAGTACCGCAACCGCGACGAAGGCTCCTACCACGTGGACGAGAGCCGCAACTACATCAGCAACTCGGCCACGCAGCCCAACGGCAGCACCAAGGACAAGCCTCTGGGTATCGCCAAGATCTCCAAGAACAAGAAGAACAAAGACAAGGAGTACTACGTCTGAGGCAGAAGATGTCCAACACACAGACATATACGCATACACCTTTATATATAACGGTATATGTACATAAATAGATATATTCTCAAAAAAATACACACATGCACACTGACATAGACATGCTGATGTTAATGTTTACTCTCCAATAATCACACCTGCACACATGCTGGCAAGCACAAACATACATGCATTCAAGCACAAACATACAGTACATGCATTCAAGCACAAACACTAACACTGAAGCACAAACACACACACATACAGACTGGCCCGAGGGCATGGACCCTTATGTACAGTATTTACCAATGAGCAGAGCCTCTGCAAGAGTCTCGTTTTATGATCATATACACCATTCCAAATGATTTAGGAAGCTTCCCAGTTAAGAACCATTTTCGGGGCCAGCCAGATAAAAAAAGACCAATCGCTTCCCTGCCACAGCAGGACCTCTCCAGTTGGACTCAGAGGGGTCAAGGAAGACTTTAAGCCAATGGCTGACTGAGTATGTTGAGTGAGTACAAGAACAAAGATGATATAAAAGCACCAAGACAAGCACTAAGTGTCTCTTCCAAGCATCTTGGCCTTCCTCCCTGTTCACAGACAGGACTCAATGAAGCACTGAGGATGCTGAAGAAACAAGCACACCAATGGTCCAAGTCTAATCCCACACAAAAGGACAGGGAATCAGGGTGTAGCCACACCGGCCAATGAATTACAAGTGAATAGGCAGAGGTGGGCTGGTTCCGTTAACATGATGGATGAGCTGTGGTTGTTTCGCTGCAGATATGATGTTTTACAGCGGCCTGTAAATGTCGAAGGTGGAATCAGTGGAAAACTGAGAGGTATTTTCCTGGACAGGATACTTGAGAGAGAGTTCAGATGCTACCTACAGACACCAGTCGTGCACGGCTGCGGTGTCACACACACACATATGCATACAACACACATGCACACACACAGAAATATTAACACTTGCAGACAAACCTGCAATGCCAGACCCACCATTTCTTCATAACTGATTCTGAAGACTATACAAGAAGACAATGGTGAAAATGACATTATGATAATTGGTATGGCAATGATGACGATGAATATGAAGAACATTTGGGCAGTATAGACTCTTTGGGGAAGGGAGGGGGGGTCTTATTGCACGTGAATTATCTTACTCCGTGTGATTTATACCGCGTTGAAACTTACGAGGTTACACCGTGAAGCACCACCATCATTAACTTACCACCTTGGCTTGACGTATTTCTGAATACGCACTTCAAAATGTTTTTTCCGTGTGTGTGGGATTCAGCAATGATTTAATCTCCAAATTGATTCTCCGTTCACATCCTCATCGACAAAGTGTGACCATCTCGAGTGTGCTGCATGCCTGAGTCTCTGAGCTGTGCTGTGGAGTGGTGGTGTGTCCCACTGAGTCCAGAGGTGGTAAGGGGGGAGGGGGGTGGTGGTGGTGTTGCGGGTTGCAATGTAACTCCAACGCAGCACCCGGATGTGCGCGTCCACCACAGGCCACATCCTGTTTTCAAGCCTGACATCTTACAGGCCACGCCCACTATACCTGCTCTGACAAACCACCTTTTATAGCAAAAACCAGCCGAAGAAGAAAAAAAAAAAAAAATCAAAAACAGAACAAAGTAAATGTTACCATGTGTTGCTGATAGATAGAAAATCCAGTTCATGACGCCATTGGCTATATGACAACTTGAGTTGTTTCGATTTCATTGGCTCTTCCTTTTCTCTCTTTCTTTGTCTTCATGCTATTGGTCGACTGACTTATCAACATGATCAATACACGACAGACAGATGGGTTTCCGATGGGCTGAACACTATAATTATCTGTCCCGTGTGCTCTTGCGGTGTCTGAGCCCTCTGCAGCTCAAGAACTGTAGCTCCATGATATATCAATACAAACAGTGCCATGACATGAACCAGCCCCTCCAGTTCCTCCGAGCAACGCAACCAACCAGTCACATGCATGCACGACGGACAACGGCGAGAGAGTAAACATTGAAAAGGACTGTGTGAGATTTCAAAATATAAAGTCAAAATGAACTTAACATATTCCCTTATTCTCTCCATCCTTAACTGGCCTTTTGACCTCATTTTCTTCCCTTCTCTCCTTTCCCCCTCGTTTGGTATGTTTCCCCGAGCCACCCCTCCGCTCCCTCCACGTCTGTCGCTTTCTTTTCCCTCTATCTCTGTTGTGTTGCCATCTGAAACAAAGGAGGTGTCTCTACATCTAGGTGTTCATTAACCATGTTTATTTTCTATATGTACAATTTTTCTACAGTATTTACTTTTATTTTTATTGTTACGGTTCTTTGATGAACATAAAGTGGAAATTTATTATGAAAAATAGTTTTGAAGATTAATGAGTAAATAAAATATTACCCAAGTGAGCCTGGAGTGCATTTGTGCGTTCGTTTTTGTCGGCCATGTCGATGTAGCGATTGGGGGGGAGTTAAAACCAAACCTTTTTTTTAAAATTTATTTTCACCTTTGAGAAGCCTTTATGTTGTTCATATTTATATTGAGTGTTTGTATGTTTTCATCCATACAAACACTTGTTTAAATGTCAGTTTGATGTCTTAACTCTTTCTCGGACTAAAATTATGAAATTCCTGAAATAGTTTGTACTTAAGCTGCCACAATTCAATTTTGAAAATAATCAGTAACCAGTTTGATTATTAACTGCATAAGATGTTTTTAAACTAAAAATTACAAAACTCTTTTCTTTGTCTTCTCTGGTTGTGAAGTGAATGTCTTTGGGTTTTTGATTGTTGACCAGGTGAAATATAACATTTGATGATGTCACCTTTGGTTTGGGGGGCTTGTGATTAGTGTGTTTTTCTATACTTGTACTTTACGAAATTTTACAGGCCAAACATTGAAATAACGGGTAGATTAATAAATCATGAAATGACTGTTAATTGTAGCCCTGTATTTGACAGAGCCGAACTCTTTCCTTCCACTCTCACCAGCCATAGCTGTACCCTATATGGAACAGATGATGAGAGTTGTACTGATCTTCTTATCTAATCCCCACAAGAAAGTATATAGGTTAAGCATATTTCCCAAAACTGTCAGTATTCCATATCTATATGTTGCAGAGTCCCCTCACATTCCCCCTATTTCCTTTGACCTCTCACATCATCAAACTAAGGAAAAGCAGCACACTCCGTCCCGCTCCATCTATCTGGGACAGCAGACACACATGACTACCTCGGCGCACATACAGAGTGGGAGCTTTGAAGTACTCGATGCAGTAAACGCCATAAGTCTCTGCAGGGTTGCTGTTTGCCGGATGAAAGATCACTGAGACTGCAGAGCTGAGTTTGTGTCCTCAGGTGTGTGCAGCTACAAGGACCTGCTATTTCAACAAACACCTCCCCTGTCTCGTTATCGTGTTCTCTCGCTGTCTCTCTCACTTTCTGTTACTTTTTGTCTTCTGCTGAACAGTTTGTGCCCAACAACAGACTGAATCCTGTGGCCACCTGCCCTTGACCACAGCTGGTTAGTGCAGCGATAAAGACACAGCCCTGCTCTATTTGTGGGGTGGATAAGAACAGTGCTCACTGCAGTGGTCAGAGACAGCTAGAACGGCCATTAAAGAAGTCGAACTGTTGGGTGGATGGAGATTGGAGTAATATATTTGAACGACTTGTATGGTCAAAAAGAAAGTTTGTTCTGGGGATGAGGCCAAAAGAAAAGCAGCTTTGTTTGAGGCTACACACCAAGCAGAATAAGTCTCAGCTGATGTTTCTCTTCAGAGTGACACTCCTGAATGTTGAGGTATTTGGCTCCACTTGCACCTCATAAATAGTGACCTTGTGTTACCATGGTGGTATTTTAACCACTTCATTTTCACATAAGTTAGATGACGTCAGTGTCGACACCCAACCCAGAGGTGAAGAATGGTTAAAGGTTCAGTGTGTAGAATTTAGGGACATCTAGTGGTGAAGTTGCAGGTTGCAGCTGAACACCCCCTCACCTCACCCTCTCCTTTCAAACATGATAGAGAACCTGTGGTAGCGTTCAGTTGTCATAAAAACTAAAAAAATGTTTAGTATGTCCAGTTTGAACGACTGTAAAAAAAATAAATAAAAAACATGGCGGCCTCCGTACACAGTACCCGCTCCTGATGTCAATAGTTTTTAAATATAAAGGGCCCATTCTATGGTAAAGAAAACAACAATTCGTACAATTTAGATTATCACACATTAGTGAAAACATTATTAGAATTATTTTATCATCAATTTCTTCCAATAGATCGCTTCCACCTGAATCTCAAACACTGAACCTTTAACTCACGATGGGTTGAATTCTGATAATATGCTTTGCAAGTCGGACAAAGTAATAGAAATCTGATGCCAAATTTAGGTCAATCTTGACAACAGGAAACAGTGACCTGTTGTTTGCGGCTGGAAAAAGTCTGGAAGTGTCAGAGCATCACCAAAGGCACAGTTTTCCATATCAAATTTCAAAGCTCTCCATGGAAAGATACGTCAGTGTCGGCTCAACAGAACGACCGGCTGCCTCTGAGAGCCGAGCGGTGAAAGTGAAAAAGAAATGGATCGAGGTGAGGGAAGGTACACCACAGCAGACATGAGTATCATATCCAGGTGGAGCCAAACATTGTAACGATGGCTGTGGTTCATGAATGTGTCCGACTAACTCTGATAAATTGGACCACCAGTATCCTGTTGATGATGTGTGGAAGTAACTGCTGTGAAAATGATGTATTGTCATTTTAATTGAATGCATTTATAGAAGACACAAGAAGAGTGTCAGTATAGGTGATGTTCTACAGGCTCAAAAAAGACTTCATATTTTCATCCATGCTTCCACTGCACAGGTGCTGAACTATCAGCCACATCGTATCAGTCATGTATCAACAGACACACACAAACACACACACACACACAGATATGTCATGGATCTTCCTCTGTCCTTCATCTCCACTCCTTCGTGCGCCTGCATTTGTCTCATTGAATTTATCTTTCTGATTTACACTCTCTCTCCACATGTGTAAGAAAAGCTGTGGGAGAGTGTGCGTGTGTGTGGGTCAAGGTTGTGTTTTTCTTCCTGCTTCAGAATAAATCACAAGGAGCCTCCACATGAAGTTCCCACTGCAACACACACACACACACACACAAATACTTTTTATCAGCTCAAGAGACAGCAACGTGTGAAGAGCAGGAGATGACGAAACGTAAAGACTGAAATGTAACAAAGAAAGATTGCTTTTCACTTAGGTGTTTGTATGTGTGTGTATGTGTGTGTATGTGTGTGTCCGTGCGTGTGTGTGCATGTGCGTGCATGTGTGTGAGAGTGATAAGTGTCCTTGGAAGCTGGCTATCTGCTCGGGTGTGGGGAGTGGAATAGAAAGACGATTAATTTGTCCGTCACTTTTAAACTCTGCTCATCCGTCAACACAAACACAGACATGTGGCCTGAAAAGTTTTATTCATCAATCATTAAAAAACTCAATTCAAACAAAATTGAATTGATAAATATGTGATGAAAATGTGAATTGAAGGTAAATTATAACTTAAAAACTTTTCTTTGGCTCCTACCAGTTCCTTGTTTGTTGATTCAGTGAAAACTTGGACTTTACATCTTTAAATGTAAAAACAAACTTGTTCCCACATTTTGTGCTGTGATGCTCTGCTTCTCTTTACATGTGCACCACAGGTCAGGATGTTCCTGCTGCCCTCGCTGAACTAGTCTAACAGCCGTGAGCGCAATGCATGATGGTACATATTGCTCGGTAAGTGGTTGTGGGAAACAATGGTAAAAAGGTTAAAATAATATAGAGTTCAAAAAACTTTCAGACACCACTCCAAATGTTGTGTTTTCCTTTCCTTAACCTTTTCTATTTTCATCGACTGAGAGCGTATTTGCATTAGTGATTTAATTTAAAATGAAAGACATAATAAGTGAAAACAGATTTTTGGACAGACTAGAGCGTGTAATTTGTAATATCCGAAACACACACACACACACACAAACACACACACACAGAGCCCAGCAGAGACCTCCTACATCCTCATACACACACAAGCTTTTCACACGCCCCCACCGTTCACCACTGCATGGTAGAAAGCACCTCACACTTCTTCTCCCGTCGACCTGGCAGTGAACCCAGAGTGGATAGACGGACGAACGCTCAGATCACATGTGGAGCGTGGGCTTTGATGGAAGGCCTGCCTGCCTGTAAACACCAGGTGGGAAAAGAAAACAGAGAATAAAACAAAGTGAGGAGGAAAACGAGGAGATCGGGGAAAAAAGAAGATACAACTAATATAAACTACCTGGACTGCGAAGATGATGATGATGATGATGATGATGATAAATGTGACAGTGTTGATGATGATTGTGGTGAACAACACATCAGCGGCTGAGACCAGCTTGACCATACGAACCGTGCGCCTCTGCGAGCGGCTGAGACTCGGGGTCACAGAGATTCCGTCCAACATCTCCAGCAACACCCGATGTCTGTGAGTACACGTGAGCTGCTGCAGCCATTGCAGATGAGCTTTTGATTAATTCCTCCTGTTTGGCATCTGCTCTAAAAAACAACTACATGAGCTTTTATGGAGCGTTTGGTGCCATTCTTTCTGACAACACCACATTCTGGCCAATTCTTCCTCTAGCCTACTCTCGCTTCCCACGTGTACGAATCCCTGGACTCATTGACTAACTTGGCCTGAAACATGCTGTGAACATGATGGCAACTGTCCCCTCACTCTCTTCTTATTGCTTTTCACAGTGACAATAACATCAACGCACATATTTGTGACCTTTTATTTCCTATTTTAATTATTGTATTTTAATATTTAGTTAGTACTTTCATAAAGTTTTGAGACAAATGTAGAATGGCTGAAAGTGAAGCAACAGAGGCCTTAAGGTGCTTGTATGTAAAAAAAATATGGATCCTACATTTCCCATAATGCAACATAGTAGCATCTTTTGAAACAAGCTGTGTTGAGTATCTACAACTACACCAAGACAGATTCAGGATACAGCATTTAAAATCCATTCTGGTGACGTTGAATAGTCATTTGGTCTCTCTTCTCTAATCCTTGTGCTCATCGTCTTCTAGCTGAGTTTCACACTGAACCTGCCAATGCTGGATTTAAGAAACTTTTATTTATTCATGGGATGTATGCAACATTTATCCGGTAGCTTGTTGTCTTCTTCTGTGTGAGCACATTCCTACTTAGCGTGTTACTGCTACCAACTGTTGATCGACAGAATATCGCCAAACTGGGCTGTGGATTGCATCATCGTGCAATCAGGACTGTCTCTTAAAAACATTGCTCCATAGCGCTCCTAGAGGTCAAGGAAGTTACTCCAGGTTTTTGAAAGAACGAAACACTGAAGCCTGCACCATCGTCCATAAGCAGCAGTTATAAAATAAATCCCCTCCAACAGGGAGGGGATCTGTGTTTGTTTGATGTTAGTTAGCAGGATAAAACAAAAGCTATTGAATATTGGTGTGGATCTGGATTAGTGGGTGAATCCAGGAATTTTTTTTTACTATCTTTAACATTGCAAGATCATTGCGGCATCTTTCATCAGTTGTGTTGATTTCTCATGGATCTTGATACGTTTAGGGGACTGATGTCTATGTGAATTTAAATGTGGTGTGGGCCTTGTGCTTTCTTTAGTGGCCTTTAATTTAAAAGAGTGATGCGACTGGTGTCTGTATCGTAAATATGAAGCTGCCACCAGCCTTTAGCTAACTTATTCCCACAGGGAAACAGCTCCCCTCACTCTGCATTTCCTCTGAACCTTTCAGAGGAATACAGTTTCATTTCTTCTTTGAGGAGCTACATAGCGCAGCGTTAATCTCCAAAGATGTTGACCTGAGGTGGTGCATGTGTTTTAGGGTGTTTGTGACATAGTGATACAGGGACACTGAGCCAAAGCGAGGCAAGCGAGGGTGACCGCCGCCCAGCGTAAACACTGCCCTGTTCTTTTGGCCGTTGAAACATTTTGAACAAATCTCAAGGCCACGTTGGGGAGGGGGTGAGACAGCGTTAAAGATGAGGATTGCCCGAAGCTCCTGCACAAACACGCACCTATAGACATATACAAGAACAGAGTGCAGATATGCATAATCAGACACACACAAACAGACACAGCAGATACACACCCACACAAAGAGGAGGACACGCTTTGTGGCAAAAAGTAGCGACGATTCCCAAAAGACCGACTGTGAACTTCCAGGAGGCGACGTGTGTGTTCCCATCTGTTCTGTTCCGCTCCAAGGTCAAGGCTCAGGAACAGTGGGGATATTTTCAAGCACGCAGCAATGAGGGATGTTTTAAATCTGATCCAAAGCAACCAGTTGCAAAGGAAGCTTTGGAGTTTGCATACAGACTTTCTGTTCATGCTTCTCACATGAAAAGAAAGTCATGGAACTGTTGACCTTCTCCATAAATCTCTGAAAATACAGGATTGAGATAGTGACCCACATCCCTGACACTCACAAACACTGGCCACTGTAATAATGTTATTTCTTTGCAGTGATTGTGTCAGTGCTGATGTGGGCGTCTGTTTCTGCTTCAACAGGGAAGTTAAGCAGACGTTGATCACAGTGTTACCCCAGGGTGCTGTCACCAGCCTGCAGCTCCTCAAGAAACTGTAAGTGTGTGTGTGTGTGTGTGTGTGTGTGTGAGTGTGTGTATGCCTGCGTGTGTGTGTCACTTTGATCTGGAAAATATTAAACCGAGGTCAAAACAATCAAGATATGGATTATCCAGACAGAGGAAACGTAAAGAGGTTGAGCTGAGACTATGATCGAGTCTCACCAGCAAATCTCTCTATGAATATTTGATCTTATAAATTTAAACTGAATGAACCAAGATATATAATTATATATAAATTATATTTGTTTTGTTTTTGAGATAATAATAAACATGTAGATGAATTATAAATGATAATTTATCTACAAAATAACAATGCAGTCCATGCATACTTTTCTGAGCACAAAATGTTGCTTATTCTAAATACGCACAAATGATGAATGAATGAAATGAAATCCATTGTCCCTGATTTGGAGTTTTTGATGAAAGCTTAAATGAAACTAAGAAACTTCCTCTGTATAATAGTTTATATCATTTTCTTTTCCTCTTCTCTCCTCTTCTCTCCACCTCAGAACCATATTGGAGAACGAAAAGCTGGAGAGCATCGGCACGTTTGCTTTCGCCAACCTCCCCCGACTCTCTGATATGTGAGCATATAGTTTTTGGAAAAACAAAACAAAACATTGGACATGACGTATTTTATCCAACGTGCTCGTGTGTTTAGTCTCTGCTGTTGGAACAAGGAGAGCTGCAAACTGTGAGAAAGCTGATCACCCAAACAGTCGAGGATTGTAGGCTCGTCAGGGCGGTGCAGACAAAATAAATCAAAGAATAAGTTTGAATGAAATTTAATGGATGGATTTTATTTTATTTTTTTAGATATATGTCATATTGTTGTGTTTCCCTGCAGCTTCATCTCTGGAAACATTGCTCTGGAGAGTATTGGAGCTTTTGCTTTTTACAACCTCCCAGAACTCACTGAGATGTAAGTGTCCCCCGTCTGTAACTGTAAGTCCTGTCATTTATATCACTGATGAGCGCACGTGTCTGTTTCTTTCAGAACCATAACAAAGTCAAAACACCTGACGTCCATCCACCCAGACGCATTCAGGGACATCATGAAACTACAGTATCTGTGAGGACTCACCGGGAACGTGCATTTTACAAACAGATCATGAGCCCAAAATGGGTCAAGGGTGACAGGTCTAATTCTGATGAGCTCCCACACGACCAGACACATGATTTTTTAATGAGTTTGGTTCCTTTGGAAGAAAAATCAGGGATACTTATGAGTAAAAGACATTTTAAAGATTTGAATGTATTTATTTCTAAAATATATTAAATTGTATTGTTTATATCTTTTAAAAACACGTCAAAGCAGCTGTTTATTAGGGACTCGTCGTGTCTAAAGGTGAACTCTCTCAGTGATTACTTTTTTGTTTGTCCTGATTTGTAAGAACTGGGCCACATAAATAGAGCGTAGAGTGAAAAAAGAGCATTTCTTAAATTACCTCTACACAGAAGCACAGCATTTGTATCTACTTTAATAACTTTATGTGAACCTGGTTTTATGATTTTATGTAAATGTCTTTAAAAAATGTTAAAAGTTCATGTATCATGGAGGTTCAATATAAGAATTGAAATAAAGCTAGGGCTGGATAAAAATGACAAAAAAATAAATTGGTCATCTCATGTGAATGGATAATGCTGAACCAACCAAATTGCACAAACTCATTAATATCAGTCAGTGAAATATGATTTTTTGGAATTCAACAAAAATGTTGAAAAACACTGTAAAAGAAAGGGTGAAAACATGGGTTCTTCCCTGACCCATACCTTCCACCAAGTTTTGTGGAAATCCATTCTGTAGTTTTTGTGAAATCCTTCTGACTAATTAACAGAGAGACAAAAACAAAAGCACCCAATAGGCAGCGGGAAAAAAAGCTTTCAGGCTTTTTAATGACTTAAAATCGTTGCTTGTTCTCACATTGAGGCTGAACGAGGCTGAACCTGTCAGATGTTTTTGCCAGACATCTGTTTGGAACAGGCCGCTTTTAAATTAATCTCTCTGGCATCATGGAAACTTTTTCACGAGTTGAATCTTTAAAAAAAATCTAAGTTATTACAATGAATGCTACATCGTCTGGTTTCACAGACCTTCTGTTGTTTTGAGGTCACTGTGCAAGTGTAGTAACATTTTAATCTGCACATCACAGGACCATCTCCAACACCGGGCTCGCCTTTTTTCCAGACTTCACCAAGATCCACTCGGCCGCCCCTGACTTTCTGTTGTAAGTCTCAACGCAATTTAGAAATGAAGTGCAGATGCATGCAGGCTCACAAACACACACACAGACACACACACACACACCACATGTCCCACATGCACCTGACAGCACAGGCTATTTTATGCACACAGAAGGAAACATGAGGAATACAGAACTGTAGTTAAGACCTTTCTGCACACTGAGTCTCAGGCCCAGACCGCATACAGATGAGGGCCACTTCAGACAATGATGTGGTGCCTCTGGCCTTCTTGTGGCCCTGACAAAATGAACGTGAGCCTTAAGTGGCCCACTTGTAAAATAGAAAATGTGGCCCAAGTATCCAAAAACAAATGTGGATATTGCTTCGGCTCACTTGTGGCCCAGATCATGCAAACAGGAGCAGAACGCCCAAGTGCCATAATTACACACGGTACGTGGGCCAGATGACAGTGTGGACTAAATCTGGGCCAAAACTATTTGCTACGTGGGACGGATTTAAACAATCTGTTCCTTCTCCATCCTACTAGAAAAATGATCTTCCAACTCTCTCCCATATGACATCTACCAGCTTCTTATAGGAGGTGATTTTGAGGGAGAGTGTCGCAAGCGTTCCTATTATTTTGCACCTGAAGAGCACACATAAATCTGTTGTTTTGCTCTTTCTAATGTGTTTTTTTTTTTGTCTTTCCTGCTCAGTGACCTGCAGGAGAACAGCCACATAGCCAGAGTCCCCGCCAATGCTTTCAGAGGCCTCTGCACCCAAACTATCACGGAGATGTGAGGCATTTGTCTTTTTTCTTTTTAGAAGCGCATCACAGTGATGAATGTTGCCTCAAATGCTCTGTGCCCTCTTCACTGAGCTCTGTCTTCTCCCCTCCTCTTCTCCCACTGCAGAGATCAACTCTTTATTTATAACATCCTCCATTTCAAGCTGCTGACAAATCGTAGTTTGATCCAGGCTCAGTAAATCCATCACCTATATTCTAATCCTGCTCTTTTGTTTTTAATTGATTCTCCTTTGTAAACACAATATAAAATTGAGAGATATATTTTTGAAAAAATAAAACCTAAATGCTGCTGACATTGCACTGAGGCTGTGTTAGGAAAGTTGAAATAACCTCCTTTCCTAACCACTTTTCCTTGACCCCGATTGAATACGTCACGGGGTCAAGGAAAGATGTGAAGGAGAAGCTGTGAGCAGTTAGGAAAAGAGAACCACGATGATACGTCCTTAGAAAAGTTGTTTTCATTTCATACAAAGGGAACATTTAATCATTACCTACTCCCAGGAAATAACAATTAAACAGATTTAAATGAAAATGAAACAAACAGGACTGAAACATTGAAATAATATCATAATATGAGGAACAGATGTGGAGAAAACCTTATATAAGTGGAGAAAGATATTTTTTGTGTGTACATTCCATAATCTGGGAATTAAAATGACTTTAATATTTGTCTTTAGTTATGATGTTGATATTTTGAACTGAACATATTGGTTCAGTATGGTTGTTGTTGGATAGAGTGACAGAGAAATCAGGAGCTCAGACGATCCTGTGAGGATTCAGTTCTGAGTCATGTCGTGACAATAAAACAGCTTCTGTTCTTTATATATTTAGGTGGGTGTGTCCAGGTACAACTACAAGGTTTTCTCCGTCTCTTTCATAAAGACGGTCCGATGTTTCCTATTCTAACCGAGATAAGTTAGGAAGCACCGACTCTCCTTTCCTGATCCTGAAGAGAATTCAAACAGCTCTTATTATGGCGGCCGCTGAAATATTTCATATTTTTGTCATTTCACTCAATTGGAAGTGCAAATACAGCTACAGCTGCTACTGTTACATTTGCCAATATTGCAACTGATTGGCCAAGAGCAAATGTCAATCAACAACAAGGGACATTTGCACAAAGAAAATGTTTCCTTTATTTGTCTTTCTCACTTTTCATTACATTCTAAATGTTGCACTTTTTGCTCCACGAAACCTTTCTGACAGTTGTAGTTACCGTTTATTTGAGAGGTAATATTTTGTTTATATGTGATTTTTGCAATTTAGTAAATTTATATTTTACATATGAACCATGTCATCATCTTGTAAAATATCATTCATACCCAACAGAATATAAAAACACATTTCGAATCGGAAGTTGCAACTTTAAAAAGCAGATGTAAATTGCACCAATCAAAAATATTGTCATGCATATGTACATACATGCATGTATATGTATATTATTTATTATTTATATTGTATACTATATACATATTGTATAATCTTATGTATTCTTCTCATGCCTCACTGCTCTGCCATCGTTTTGTTGATGTATAACGTTGTTGTCGCAATTTAACTAGTGTCAGTGAGTTTCACTGTTCGTGTGAGTTTAACTTCTCTAAATTCTCAGAGGAAAATAAATCTCACATAATGAATTTCAAACAGCTTTAGTCACAGAGAACAAAAGAAGCACCCACATTAAAATTAGCTTTCGTAGTTCAGTTTTACAGTTGGAAATGTTCTGTGTTGGAGCCACATGACTGTAATTTGGCTTCTCTCTCTGTTGACAGACGGCTCACCAGAAATGGCATCAAGGAGGTGGCAAGTGACGCCTTCAACGGCACAAAGATGCACAGATTGTGAGTCACAGGCAGAGACACAATTACAAATAGAGGATTTAGGAAAAAATAGACAAATAGTTGTCGCATTTGTTTAATTTCTCTCGTTCTTCGCGTCTTCTCTCCCAGGTCCCTGAGAGGCAACCAGCAGCTTACTCACATCAATCCCAATGCCTTTGTGGGTTCCAGTGGGTTGGTGGTACTGTAAGCATGACATCTAACAGTAACTCACGCCTGCATGATTCACCCTCATCATCATCATCATCACTTGTTAAAGTCAGGATGTAGGAGACGAACAAGAAACAGCATGACGTGTGTGGAACAGAAACATGACTGGTTCAAAGAAAAAATAAACTCAGAGCAGGTTAATTTTAATTCCAGAGAGAGACCTGTTTATCCTCCAAACCAAATGACACTTTTTTTTTTTACCATTGAAGTTTCCGGGAAAAAAACCCTATTAGATTTTTTTTCTTTTGAGCTGTCAGTGCTGGGATATGTTGGAGGTTTTTCACACCACGTCCCAGCAATCGCTTGGCAATCAAACCGTAGCTCTCTCTGTGAATTTTGAGTCAGGATATTTGAGTTTCGTGGTTTTATTCTTAGCAAAACTGGAATTTTGCCAGCATAAATATTCATGCATCACATCTTAAAGCCTCTGGAGTCTGTGTATTCTTCAGCGAATACTCTGAGCATGTTTTATTAGCATTAACATAACTTTATTTATAGATCATGTGGAGACAGGCTGAGAAACCCAAACAAATGTGTTGTCGTGACAGACATGTTTATGTCTATAAAACTTTTTCAAAACTGAATTATTCATATTTTTATAATCTCAAACATTGATCAGCATTCTTGTCAGCTTTAAACTGAAGAAGGTGAAAAACAGTAAAATAACAACAAACATTATATGTGAAATCCTCAAATGTTACATACAATTTTTATATTCATACCTTGTATACTATTGTGAACTCATACCTATGTGTGTGTGTGTATAGTGTGGTGAAATACAATTTATACATATATAAAGCATATACCGTTTTATATACTCATATTGTAAACATACCTGTCTATATACTTGTTTATGTATATGCGATACACAATGCACAATACAGTATAAATCCTCGTAAATCCACTGCACTTTACTCATATGCATCTTATTTTATCTTATTTTATCTTATCTTATCTTATCTTATCTTAAAGGCACTCATATTTAGTTTGTTCCTTCAGGGACATCTGTCACACTGCCCTCAGCTCCCTGCCGGACTCAATCCCCGGAGGACTGCAGTGGCTGATCGCAGAGTCCACCAAACGCTTGAAGAAACTTCCCTCTCAGCTTTTCACCAAACTGCACCAGGCCAGACTGACGTACCCATCACACTGCTGCGCCTTCCAGAACATTCACAGGAACAGGTGAACTTTCTGGACCTGGGAAATATTTCAAAGTTATTTGTAATCAAATTAATACATTTCAACTGTAATGGCTAACAGAAATATATTCTATGTATTACATCGATGTTCAGGTAATGTTTTCATTACTGTTTGTTCAAAATCAAGGTCTGTTTGCAGGATTATGCAAAACTACTAAACTGATTTCACTTAAACTTGGTGAAAGGAATGTTTTTATCACTTTCTTGAACATTATGGGTATTTTTGTATTTTTCACCAGTTTCCCAGGGAATAATTCATGGTTCTTGGTTAAATAAATCTGGCATATTTAGGGGACTGATATCATAGTGTTTGCAATTTGTCACAGATCCATATAAAAATCCATATCTTGTGAATTCAGATGTGGTTTCAGAAGGGGGCTTTTGGGCCTTGGTGGAGGAATGCACCCTACTTTGTGTTGTTATGTCTTATTCTCACTCCATAATCGGTGAATTACCATCAAATATTGCTGTAGTATCAACCACAGGGTCATAATCTTGAGTTTTTGACTCATAGAACATGTGTCAGAGAAGTCATGAAATCTCAAAGAAAGACAATACTTTTGTTTACGTGTGCACTTTGTGTATTGTTGTGTGTTAGATCGAGGTGGAACCCCCTGTGCTCACTCCCTAAGGCTCAGGACAACTTTAATTTCTTCAGAGACCACTGCTCTAACTCCACATCCGTAACCTGCAGCCCGATGCCCAATGAGTTTAACCCCTGTGAGGACATCATGTCCTCCATCCCCCTGCGGGTCCTCATCTGGATCATTTCTGTCCTGGCACTGCTGGGGAACGGAGTCGTCCTCCTTGTGCTGATAGGTATTTAATAGAAAAAATTATTTCTAAGTTTCTAGTTTGCTTATTATATTTTAAACAGTGATTCCTTTGTCTTCATCTGCCTGCTCATGTCACATGTGAGGTCCTACTTCCAGAGGTGTATCGTACAAATATATTTCAAATTTAAGGTAGTTGTACTTTTCTCAAGTATCTCTATTTTGAGAAACTTCCTCATATTTACTTTCATTTCATCTTTATACCACAATAAGCTGTTAAATGCCTGTTTACTTAATCAAGCTATTTTTCTCACCTTTCTGTTTCCCCCTCTGTGTTTTCAGGCAGCTTCTCCAAACTGACAGTTCCTCGTTTCCTCATGTGCCACTTGGCCTTCGCTGACCTCTGCATGGGCGTCTACCTGGCTGTCATAGCGACTGTCGACATGCTCACACGCGGCGAGTATTACAACCACGCCATAGACTGGCAGATGGGCCTGGGCTGCAGGGCCACAGGTTTCATCACGGTGGGTACAGTCATCTTGAGTCCTTCGCGTCTTCAACACTCATCAACGCGCAGGTTTGAATATAAAAACAGTGCATGTGTGCTTCGCAGGTGTTCGCCAGTGAGTTGTCAGTGTTCACGTTAACAGCGATCACCCTGGAGCGCTGGCACACCATCACATACGCTCTGCGGCTGGACCGCAAAATCCGCCTGAGACACGCATGCATCGTCATGACAGCAGGTTGGATCTTCTCCTCTCTGGCCGCCTTGCTGCCCACAGTTGGGGTCAGCAGCTACAGTGAGGTTGGTGTACAGATCCCACATTCTCCATTCAACTCCTCTGTGCTGTCCAGTTTGAAACACCAATTCAATGTGTGTTCATTTTAGGGAAGCAAAATGGTGCATAAACTCATTCTCCACAAAATGAGTTAGAATATGCTTTGCATGCCTAAACATATTTAAAAAAAACAAAATAATGCAAAACAACAAATGTAGTGTGTCTGAGATTATGATGAACAGATATGTTGTAGCACTGCAATTAATGGTTATCTGCATTAGCAACTAATTGTTTTCTTAATTGATCAATTAATTGCATGGACCATAAAACACCATAAAAAGGGGGAAATGGCTCTCACAACTATTTAGAGCCCAACGTGACATTGTTAAATGATAATCAAAAGAAAGATAAGGAAAAGCAATAGATTCTCACATATGATAAAAATCAGCAAATGCAAAGCATTTCTAAAATTAGGTTCCTTAAATTTGACTTTTTATTACTTTTTGAGCTATTGCTTTTAGCACAATTACATATAGTATGTTGTTTGCTGCCTCTAATACTACATGCCAGTGTCCAACTTGTAAATTACTGTATGAGTTTGTCCAAATGGGTGAATAACAAAACTGTACTGTAAAGAACTAGACTAACTGAATGAATGCAAACAATTTACCTTAATACTATATTCATCCATTCATTCAGTTTAGCTAATGTCTTAGTTTATAAGTCCATCCGAATATGAACCCACTCACACACACGTCTTATAACCCTTCTGTGAGGTTTTTAACTCAGGTTATGATGAATAAATGAAGCCCTGAACACTGTATGTGTTTATGGTGCAGGTGAGTATCTGTCTCCCCATGGACGTGAAGTCACCGGTGTCTCAGGTCTATGTCGTGTCCCTCCTCCTCCTCAACATCCTAGCCTTCTTCTGCGTATGTGGCTGTTACATGAGCATTTACCTGACCGTCCGCAACCCCTCGTCCATGCCGGCCCACGCCGACACCCGTGTGGCACAACGCATGGCCGTGCTCATCTTCACCGACTTCATCTGCATGGCCCCCATCTCCTTTTTCGCCATCTCAGCTGCACTGAAGCGCCCGCTCATCACGGTCTCAGAGTCCAAGATCCTGCTGGTCCTCTTCTACCCGATCAACTCATGCTCCAACCCCTTCCTGTACGCCTTCTACAACCGCACCTTCAGGCGGGATTTCTTTCTCCTAGCAGCTCACTTCGGCCTGTTTAAGACCCGGGCGCAGATTTACCGGACAGAGAGTTCGTCCTGTCAGTGACCTCTCCATAGGTCTCTCACAATCCAAAGACATTCAGATTGGGAACTAGGTTGATTGGACACTCTAAATTGGCCATAGATGTGAAAATGAATAGTTGTTATGTCTCTGTATGTTGGTGCTATATGAGGGCCCTGTGATACACTGGCAACCTGTCCAGGATGTACTGCGTCTCGCCCAATGTCAGCTGGGATTGGCTCCAGCTCCCCCTACAACCCTCAAAGCTTTAGCGGCATAGATGGATGGTTTTGTGAATGCCTACAGGGATCTGCTAATGTGCTTTTAAGAATGTGTGTGCAAAAGCAGGTTTGTAAACATTGAAAATTGTGAATGTGTAATGAGATTTTCAAGCGTATTGATTTTTGTACATATGTAGACAAATCTGCAAATGCCTGCAAATCTGTAGTAGAAGTTTGTTTGTACCCACACACATTTGCAGATCTTCCATGGCTGAAATGTAAAATCCTGTTTAAAATGACGGCCAATTGCAAGCTTGAGTTATAACTGATCACTTTTCTGTATTTACAGCTCTTGGGGCAAAACACATTTTCATCCATTAATATCTATATACGCATTTACAGATTTATCTACGCATTTACAGATTTATCTACACATGTACAGTTCTCATTACACATTAACAGATTCCCGTATGCACTCACAAATCTCAGCACACATTTGCAGAGTCTTCACCAATTTGATTATAGACACACACAGTTACACAACTCTCCAAACACAAATATAATATTGGCTCCATAACACATGGGCACAATGGCAATCCTAGCACAGACAAAAACATCGGTGTACTTTGATCTAAATCTAGGTCAAGTTAATGTCCTAGATGTGGGTGGAATCTGCTGCATCAGAATCATTTAGATCACAGGTAAAAAGCAGAAAGACCTAAACTGACTTTGCTCTCGTGTAAGGTCTTATGTAACCAACACTGTCCATCTAGTGTCCCAAGGTTATTGAAACATGCTAGAGCACTTGGAAACTGTTTAACAAAGATGTTGTAGCTTGGGACGTCAGTGTATGCTCATCAAGAAATCAACATTCATTTAACATCAAGCATTATAATTGAATGATATTCATTAAGAGGCACACCGCAGGGGCCTGTACTGATTAATAATCTCCTCGTACATTCCATCTCCTGCAGCCCACACACCTCCCCTTTAACCCCTCAGTTTCTCTATACATGTCATCGTTGTGATGTCATTTTGTTCATTGCTTGTAAATGACCTCACCTTTTTATATATGTGTTTGTGGTTTTTTTGTATAATTTTATAAAGTTTTCTATTGCACATTCTCTGCATGAGTAGATTTCGTGCTGTGTCAGTGTATGAAGAGCAGGAATAAAAGATAAAACACACACACACACACACACACACACACACTGAATTGAGCTGTCTTTATCTAAATTCTGCCCTTCGGAGCATCCAAAGCTTTCAAGGACAAAGTGACCCTACCAACCTCTGCTCCGTGTGCCAGGGTGGGTGGTTGTGAGAGGGGAGACTATGCAGCTGCTCATACTGCTTATTACAGGAGGAGGGATATGGCAGCTCGATAATACACACACACAGAGACACACACACACAAGCCAGGGTTTCAAGGCTACAGCTGCAAGAAGGAGTCAATCTCATTGATATGGATACGCTGCCTCCTACATGCCAACACTGAATGTGTGAGTGCATTTGTGGTCTTTAACCACCAGGTGATGCTACTGGTGCAGGGTGCATTGGGATCTCTGCTCTGTCTGATGTGAGTAACAATATAAGAATATAAGTCAGTCTTACAAGCTCAAATAACTGATACTGTAGGCAGCACAGTTACAAAGGCACAACATCACTGTGGAGTTTTAACAGAACGATGACAATAGCATGTACTATTCTCTGTGTTCACAGCTGGTGGTGTTCTGTCCTTGCAACTCTTTATAAAAGAGGATTTTGTAACAATATTGCATCAAAACGAAAACTATTATGTGAAAAAACTGATTAAACACAGACAATGTGTTGCACACAAGGTTACATCAATGTTTACAAATGGGAATCATGGTTTTCTGAGAAAGACAGAAGAAAACACCCAGAATATAATCCACACAGCATTGACAGTATTATAATTCTGACTGCTGTAAAATAATGAATATAGGTCCCACAAAAAGAGCTATATTGTACAGATTTCAAAATACTCACTACCTCTGAGAGAATATTTATCCAGGAACTACCTTCACTTATAACATTCAGGGCTTCCTGTTGACCTTAAGACAAGCAAAATATTACCTCAACACCCACAGATTGCTCCTTTCCGTCACCATGTTTCCTGCTTACATGAAAACTATCACATTTTAAAGACTCAAAATCTATAAAAAGGTTATAATATCCACATAGAAAAAATATTTCATAGCATTTGGGAAGAATTCAGAATTAGGATGATAGCGATTTCCCTGTATACTGAATATTTTCTCATATACAGAAAAACACACAATATCTTAATTTTTATCATTTTTTTTTACAAGCAATAAAAATGATTCATGCCATTACTCTGTACTGCAATGATTCTAAAACGTATGAAAAACAAACTATGTTTTTTTCCTTTTGATGAATATCAGAAGGTGTTGAAGGTGCAGATACTGTTCGCAGATCTTTTCCAGACAGAATTTTTTTTATTTATTGCGTAACAGAGTAACAAAGCATCCTGTGTGTGTGTGTAAGCCTCTGCTGTTTCCTCAAGTACCACAAGTTCATAGTCTTATCATTTGATTGTTTGCAGCTAAACAATGCCCTCTAGTGATTAAAATCATATTAATTGACAAAATGAAATTCTACACAAATTCTATTTTTCGGGACTCACACACTCTCACACTCACCTCCTGTAGGTTTAAAACGTGGAAAGAATTATTGTGATTTGGTTTTCCGCAGCGAATTAAAACTGTAGTCAGCTTGAATTCATGTTTGGATGCAAATAGGGAATGTGTGTAACACTGGTATAAATGAAGGTCTTTTTAATTTGTCATCAATCAATGAACTAATGCATTGTTTGCATGCAGATATAATCTGATTCACTTTGGCTATAAGTGACGCACTGATGAAAAAATATTTTCTCATTTGGTTTGGACTAGAAATTCATAATTGAACCTTCAAATGGAATTGCATGATTAAATTTAATAGGCTTTTAATTTTTTTGTTTTGTCATTCCATTTAGTAATGTGTATGACTATCATGTTCCTCATTCCGGCTCAGTTTATTTTAAAAAAGCAAATTCATTCATTCATTAAAAGAAGATTTTAAAATGTGGGGATAAACCTCTAAAATTATAAAAAGTGATTAAGAGTTATTTCCTTATGATAGTTTAAACTCTCACTCATAAATTGATTTTTCAAGGTAAAATTGCATGATTAACTTTCAAATGCAGTAAAATTTTACTCTGTTCTCCTACTGATGGGTGTGTCTAAAGTCTATATTGAAGTGTCAGAACATCTAACAAGCATATTTCTCAACTCAACTCATATTTTCAACAAATGATGGAAAATAATAAATATTGATCCTTTATTTGCATGGATGGATTCATGAATAGGCCTTACCAGCACAGTATGAAATTGTTGTTAATTTAATTTCTGGTTTAAAAGTCAAAGAGCACAGTTAATGGGCTCAGAACAACCACAAAGACACAATGAGACACAAACTGACCACAAAGAAACATAAAATGATTACAGAGAGGTATAAAATGACTACACAGAAATACAAAAGGACTACCAAGACACATAAGATGACTACACAGAAACTCAAAAAGGCTACAAAGAGACACAAAATGACTGTAAAGAGCTACAAAATGACCACAAAGATATGTTAGATGACTCCACAGGGATGCAAAATGATCACAAAGAGATACAGAATGTCACCAAACAAAAATGAGATTCACAAAAAACTAGAAACTACTCATTTTGTCTCTTATTCATTAAAGGGACAGTTTACCAGAAAAATGAAAATGCACTCATTATCATTAACAGAAAAAAACAGAAAAAACCTCCACACTGCTCCTGTGGTGTCATCCAAGTGTCTGTTAGCCCCAACCTTCAAATTTGACTCAAAACAGTGAGACCAGCGAGAACATGCGATACTCACGAGAACTGCAGCAGCAAATAGGAGAAGGACATCAGCGGACATTTATGCTAAAAATCATGATGGAAATGAAGCTGTTTCCAGTCATGTTTGAATGTCACACTTGGATGACCCCACAGGAGCAGTATGGAGTTTTCTGTTGTTTTTTTTAAGTTTGAAGAAGTTTCCGCCACTGTATTGGGTTTGGCTGCAATGCTGTTTACCCCTGAAATTCCAAAAGTGTTTTGTGGACTCAAACGCTTCGCCCACCCCTCCATCGGCACAGTGGTGAGTACATAATGAGTGGATTTTTATTTTTCAGTGAACTAGCCCTTTAAGGAAGGGTGGATGGTGGGGGGCTTTGACTTCTGTGTGCCCAGGGGCCCATTTTGTAATAATACGTCCATGCTTATTTGATGGGGGGAAATAATTAGACAATTAGTCATTACATTAGAGTCCTTTGCTTCTTCTCAATAATTTAGAAACAGTGAAAGTGTGACCCTGGTAACAAACAGCACAAACAGGAAGTAGTCTGTAAAGTGTTTGGGCTCCATGAACACAGATGACTTCACTTTATGATCATCATCGGTTCATCGATGAGTCTCATCGATGATCAAATCGCCGCTTGACCGATTCCAAACCCCAACAGAAGGGTTTGTCAAATCACCATGAGACGAGCCTCCTGATTGGTTGTTACAGGAGGAGCTCATAAAACACCGCACGTGATTGGCCGAGCTGGCACTCTTGCTCTTTTTTTCTCGCGATTCTTTCCCGTGTGGGTTAATGGCTCCTCCTGCTACAGACTGAGACGGAGCTGGCACCGAGCGGCGATACGGGGGGAGCTGCAGCACCACGGAGGAAAAAACAGGCGATTACACCCCAAATACCAACGGGTTTTCGGTCGCAGTCGTTCGGGTGCGTCTGGGAAAAGGGCCGTCCGGGCGGTAGACCGGGCCGAGTGCGACATTCAGCAGCGGGCGGGTCGAGGAAAGCTGTCCCATTTTTCAACAACCAACTCCCCAGATGAACTCCGTCAGAGCCACCAACAGGAGACCCAGGCGAGTGTCGAGGCCGCGCCCGGTGCAGCCCGAGCGGAACAACGGGGATAGAGGTAAGCTAGGCCGCGGTGAGCTAGTGGTTCGAGACGAAGCGGTGTCCCGGTCCTCCGTATTACCCACGTCTGTACTCAACAGGCCGCGTTCGCTGCTCTCCTGCGGCGGCGGCTGCAGCAGGAAAACCCGAGGCTTCTCGCTCTGTGGCTTAGGCCAGGCCGCGCTTTGTTTGGCTTGAGTGATTGGGGCTAGCTAACGCCGCTAGCTTAGCTTCGGTTAGGTGGAGGTTGGGGGTTGTCTTCGCCCTAACGTAATGCGCATGTAGCCGCACGGTTAACATTAACGCTCATATTCAGGCATCTTCCGCTGGAGGCGAAGGGGTCGACTACATAGCTTTTAACCGCAGCCCCCCGTGTGCGCTCGGCCATTGCATTCCCAGCTGTCACTAACGA